AGCTGGGATGCGGTCGGAAGACGCGGCGCGGCGGAGGCGCGCGGACGTGTACGCATGAATGGCGACGCCGTGAGGACCGGAGCGGAGAGGCAGGCGGCGGGAGGAACGCACCGTCGTCTTACGTGCCGGCCATTCACCAGACGGCATCCTGTAGCAGGGTCCGAAAAAAGCGGGAGGCTCCGGCCGGCCCGGCTGGCGTTCGGCGGCGGGGACGGAGACGGCGACGGGCCATAGACGCCGACGCCGCGCGCCGACCGAGGCGCTTTTCTGCACTGGGCGGTGCGGAGGCGCGACGCAGCGCGGCGCGGTCCGGAGGCGCTGGCGGCGGCGGCGGCGCGGAATGAAGGACGAGGAAGGCGGGGGGTAGGCGCGCGCCGCGGGCCAGGGTTTAGTCTCATCGAGGTAGTGCGCTCAATTGGACTTTTCAGACCCCCCTTCAATTGTTTTACGAGCCTTTCGCTCTACAGCGTTCGCGCAATTCACCATTTTAAAGAGTAAGAAATTAACTTCCATTCTATATTGCCGGCAAACTCGAATAGACAATCGCTCCATCTTTGGCGTGTTCGGCGTCATAGCCGCGTCTGCTCGAGTCCCGTTCAGTCGGGCGGATTGTCCACAGGTTGGGCCTGGCGCGGCGTATTGTGCGGCTGGCGCTTGCTCGCTCGCGGCTTCTTTAGGCCGCGCGCCAGGAGGGCGAAGCGCGCGGCGCCGCCCCGCTCCGCCGCCCGCCCGCCCAGCCCCGCCCCGCCCCCCCACGCGTCGCGATCCGCCCTGCCCCCCACCCCGCCCCCCCGCCCCGCCCGCCCGGACCACGCCCCCTGCCCGCGCCCGTGGCGAATCACGCCCACGCTGCGTGCACTGTGTGCCGAATTCTTTGCCGAGTCTCTGTCATTCCCTCCTAATAGCCTGCCGTGTTTACTGAGAGCGTTCCCTTGAATAATATCTTTTCAAAACGTCCATGTATTCAAAAAGACATTAATTATCGGTAGATGTTCTGTGTTACGCTTCAAATTTCAACACTGAACATGCGGTGAATCATCACCTTTAAACGTCACAATGTTTTAAAAAAGCGTTAATAATATCCTCTTGAAGACAATAAACTTCACGTTATTGAGTACCGATCTCGTATCGAATTCGTTCTTACTCTCTCAAAATTACAAGTTACAAATTCATTTTAGGGCCCGCATTTAAGGAAAACTGCGCGCTGGGCTGACAAAGACGTTACATGGACAATCACCTCCGTTGTCTCCAGGAGTCTCGCAGAGGCCACAGGTCGCCGACCACCGGTTGCGACCGTTATGCCATGAATTAACACTTTTTCCGTTGTCCGTTTAGACAGTGTCGCTGAGATGAAAGAAATCCGAACACACTAGGAGCCGATCCGCTATCGTGGCAGGGAGTTGTGGGACGAGAGGAAGGCGCGGCGTTGCGAGATACGGTAATGCACCGACCGGGGCGCAGGGCGTGTAGTGACAGCGCGATAAGGGCCTACATCCTCCTCCCACAGCCCGTGGCCCCGCCGCCGCCTGCCTTGCCGTCACCTCTGCCGCGGCCGTCTCCGCGGCATCGCCGACCTCCACCATCACGCGTCACACACTCGCTCGCCACTGGAAGCACACGCCTTTTCATCATCACTGCATTACCTACACTCTTCAAAATGCATTTCATTGAAACCTTCGTCGATAGGTACCCGAACAGTTCCACGAACATCGACTGATTAATTAATTAATTAGTGATTCCGGACGCGTTAACGACTACAGTCATTACTCCCGTAAGTGTAGTGCACGCGTTTTCTCTGTGAGGTGGCAGTGATCTTCCCCCGAGGGATGGTGAGATTTGGCACATGAGCGGATGGGTTTCCCCACACCAGATATCTCTCACTAGCAGTGACACCGCTCCAATCGAGACAAACTCTAAGCTCCCGATCGGTCTCTCGGCATGTGTGGTAGTGTAGTACATGTAAGAGATGAGGGCAGGAGAAGGAAGGGGAAGGAAATACGTGTGCGGCCCGTGGCCCATTTGTTACGGTTCTGTTCCAACATTCGTAAACTCCCATGTAGCAGAGTATCGATTGGCCGCTAGAATTCCCTCCAGACATCGGGTGAACTTGACCAACTATGTAGTGTCGAAACACGCCCCCGTCGGGAGTCAAATAGTAGGACCTCCCGGTCATAGGCACTGCAGTGACATCAGTTGTTGCTCTGAGCCACCTACGCCGGACCATGGACATCGATCATTATTAATATAAACAATACCACAACGACGAAATTTATATTCAGCTATCGTTTCCAAAGACATACACACAAAATAATCTGCAATTTATTCTTCAATTGCTGGCTTCAAAAGTGTTCTTTGTCGTAAAAATACTTTCGTGCCTATTTCGTTATCCTAGGATTGTCGCTTGAGTCAGACAGCCTCCGGCATTTTTGCCTGCTGGTTGCATCGCTGCCGTTGCCGCGCCGCTTTCTCTACCGCAGAGTTGCATTTCGCGAAAGAGTTGACGAAAGCCTGTGCTTGTTATAAAACCTGAACTTGTTAAATCAGATACGATCAAGACACATTAAAATGTCAAAACGTGTATACAGTAAGAAGAGATAAAATCGAAGTTCACCCATGTGAAGAAAATGATAAAAAATTGACATATTTTATATTTGTACAACGAAACGAAAAACCACGGCCATTTGCTTTTTGTCGGCACGGTGCTCAGGGTAACAATAAGTCTCGGAGAATAAGAAGAAAACCCCGCTCAAGACATCTTTATAAGGCTTGAATATTCTTACCCTTGAAAGCGCCGTGCGCTGTCGTGTTTCGTCGATAACGCGTCTATTTTATGGCTGATTCGAGGTGCGCCTACCCACGGCCACTACCATAGTGAATAACCGTCCACGAAGGAGTAGATCCCAACCTTTTTATAATGCGAGCCACTTTGGTTCTAATTTAGCATTATTGATCTTTCACATAAATAAATTCCACACTTTTAGAATAGATAATGTCCGATGTAATTGCTGCTTCCAGATAAATGTATACTGCGCAACGGCATACAAATTGGAGATTTGGCATATGGAAATGCAAATACGCCAGCCAGCTATTCTGGAGAGAAATACTTTCTTCGCGTCTGAAACTTTGAGAATTCTGCTGCAAATTTCAGAATTGTGAATTTGTAGTACCTTCAGTTTGTAGCGAAAGTATATAATAGCTTTTTAATGGTAAAATGTATGTGTTGTATTTGGTTTTTCAGGAAATGTAACATTTAAATTGTATGCCTAGTTTTATTACTTGAACAGAAATCGGGCGCGTTTCCTGAATTAAATTACAGTTAACTATTTTCACATAAGTATTTATATTGTATGTATTATACAATTGGAAACATTGATTTAATACAGTCTTCTGCGAATGTCAAAAATATAGAATTTTTATCCGTTTGCTTTTATTGCTTATGCTTTTAAAACTCCGCACTGTTATTCCTCTGTATGTTAAAAGTGCACGATATCACGTCAAACAATAGACATAATAGAATGGAAGAAATGTTCTTTTAAGCGTCTTACTAAAGTGGAATTGGATTTCTTGTAACCATTATAAACAAATAAAGAATGTTATTTAAACAAGGAAATTTTCTTCATCTTATTTAGGTTTTATAACGAATATTTTCAAGGATTTTCTATGTATTCATTTATTTGCAGGCCAATAAATGAAATGCACAAAACCATTTCTGGGGGGAATGTAGTAACAACACATTTATTTCTACCAGAAAGGTTGTAGTGAGTTCTTCTTTGTCTTTTGCTAATTAAATGATTATTTTAAAATATACGTTGGGTCGTCAATGAACTATTTGACAAATGTAATAGAATCGGTGCAAAAATTGAAGGAATTTGTGAATAACAAGTTAGATTACGATTTAAATAAACTTCTTCGAATTGAAAAGAAACTAAATGAAAACAAGGGGCCACTTTTTTAAAACAAAATCCGAAAAACTAAGCAATTGACTAAGGGTTTTTAGTAGGATCGCAGAACTGTAGCCCGTGTGTCATTCAGTATTCAAATAATTCAGTGACGACCTTACGTCTCTTTTAAAATAACCTTTTGTTTTGGAAAAGCCGAAAAAAAACTGACTACGAACTTTTTTTAGAAGAAATGTTGTTGCTACATTGACTTGAGAAATAGTTTTCTGCATTTCGTTTCATTGGTCTGCAAATAAATGAATACACAAACTTCTTGAACATATTCGTTATGAAACACTAATAAGTTGAAGAGAATTTCATGGATTAAACAGCATTCATTATTTACTTAACAAGATTCCAAGAAATCCATTTCCACTTTAATAAGACGCTTAAAATTACATTTCTGCCATTCCCTTTTGCCTATGTTTGACTTTAGTTTGACGTTAGTGTACTTTCTAACACACAGGTGAAGCAATGAACGGAGTTTTAAAGGCATCAGAAATGAAAGCAAATGATAAAAAAATTAAGAACCGCACGGTCGTGCATCGGGGCTGCGGGCGAAGGCGCGGGCGAAGGCGCGGGCGAAGGCGCGGGCGAAGGCGCGGGCGAGGCGCGGGCGAAGGCGGGCGAAGGCGCGGGCGAAGGCGCGGGCGAAGGCGCGGGCGAAGGCGCGGCGAAGGCGCGGGCGAAGGCGCGGGCGAAGGCGCGGGCGAAGGCGCGGGCGAAGGCGCGGGCGAAGGCGCGGGCGAAGGCGCGGCGAAGGGGGGCGAAGGCGCGCGGGTGCGCGAAGGCGCGGGTGAGCGAAGGCGCGGGCGAAGGCGGGTGTTAGCATCTGCACGCGCGGGGAGCGCCGGCCCTGATGGCCGCCGAGATACGGCCGCTGTTTAGAAGAGCAGCGAGGCACGGGCGGCGGCAGCGAGCGGCGTTTGACAGCCGCCCGCCGGGCGGTGGGCACTCGCGCCGCACCCCCGCGCCGCCCGCGCGCCGACGCTCAAACCACAAGGGCCGCGAGGACGCAATCGCTTGCGCCCATCGCCAGCTACGTTTCAGCGGCCGCCACGACTAATAACCGATGTCAAGCGCTCTTAGCGCGGCCGCGGCGGGGGCAGGGCCACGGCGGGCAGTGGACGGCAATGGTGGCAGCAGAGGCCGCGGCTCTGGTAGCGGTAGCACGATGTTGGGAGGGGGGTGAGTAAATGCAACACGCTGCAGTCGCAGGGTATGGCAAGCCCTGTGTGTGCTAGGGATGCCGGTGGGCATGATAGTGGAGCTGAGAACAGAATTAGCTGCCGCCGCCGCCGCCGCCGCCACCACCACCTGGGAAAACAAACGGGTGACGAAGTCCGAGCAAAATCTGAGATTAAGGCGGACATGGCAATGGTGACAATAAGGCTTACGCGAACATAGGTATTTTCCGAACGACGACCGCCCACTGCCATCGCCGTCACCGCCACCGCTACGGCGTGCGGAGGGACTCCCGGATCCGTATCGCGGCCCCGTCCCCCGCCCCGCCGCTCGCCGCGGCCAGCAGGTTCACCTGCCGCGTCGCGCTAAGCGCGATCCAGCTTCGCCGACGACGACCGCTGTGACGGGAGGGTCTGATAAAATCCCGAGAGCGACCGCAATCTTCACGTACCTGCCGTGGGTGGGAAGCCCTGTCAACCTCCATGTCGAGGATGTTATTAATTCGGCCGCACAGTCTGAAAAACAAAATATTTACTAATGAGCTTAATTGAGAACGTATTGAGAAATAATTTACTTAAATGAATATCATAACGATAAAATTGATGTGTTGTCTTTTTCTTCATTCGATAAAAATGTCTTTAATAGCTCTCTGCTGGTGTTGATTCTCTGATCCAAGTGTTACATAAAATGGAACATTAAGCTATTGATATACAAGTTATAAAAATTAATACAAAAAGGTGATCTAAATCAGAGCTGTTTTAGGGATATAAATGTCCACTTAACAGCAAATAGAAAGCCAACGTTTGAAAGAAAATGAAAAATGATGAAATAAAGCACTTAACACGACTTCAGGAGTCAGCCCCAACACAAAACGACAAAGTTTAGGGTCAGCTTAAGAAACAAACAAAAAACACATATCTTCGACATCAATATATTTTTGTAGCACAAGAGGGGGAAAAAACAACAGATACAACCGGTCACCTTTCCAGCTTCCCAACGCGCTACGTCAAAAAACATTACGGGCTGCAGAACCCAACTCAACGTTGTCACAATAATTCCAGCAAAATACCTGGTTAATTCTGCAAGTATCCAACAAAACTCGCTTCAGAATGTTCACCCGGTCGTGGCGCCCCCGCCCATTACCGCGTGTAATATCTTGATAATCGTCGGGCTAATTTATCGCCGCGCGAGGCACGCGGGCAGGAAGAATAACCGAACGCCCGTTGTGCCATCGACACGGAATTTATTACGCGTTGTCTTCCCGCGGTGAAATCCGCGTTTTGATTCTGCTATCTGTGTTAGCTCTCGGGAATGATTTAATACAAGGAACCAATAATACGAGGTCAGGATCGTGCTGTCCATGTATCATGCATCTCGCGTATCGCCCGCCCGCATCTCGCCTGCGTTCCCGGGCTTGGGGAATATTTCTCCATATACGCCACGTACGGGGCCGTAAGTGGTTCTATCAATACCAGTTTATTGCCCGCGGATCGCAAGAGGGAGATTTATGGGTTCGCGCGGGGGGGAGGGGAGGGCGGGGTGGCGGGAGACGCGGAGAGCCACGCGTATTAGGGCAGGCCGCACAAGACAGTTTGGCACTTTTTGACAAGATTTATAAGCACGCAGAATGCCAGCAATTTTGGTGCTTCATGCTGCAAGTTGTACAATTCGAGGAATATCTGAACGAGTTTAGATGCTTATTGATAATTAATTTCCTAATATCCTTAGTTAAAATACTATTTTTCATAAATGTGACATACAATTTAGGTACGTTTTGTAAGAGGATTGGTAAATATCATGATGTAAGAGAAAATAAAATGATTCTGTAAATGTCCGTTTTAATGCACTTTATATAATTAGTTAATTAACATATTATGCTGTGATTCAGTTTATGGGACGCACCAGAAACTGTTCGTCTGAGCAATCCAATAAATATTCAAAATACGTTACATTTATCAATGTATAGATAGTTTGATCTATTCCTTTTTCTATTCAATTTTGTTACGTATTTTCAAGTTAAATTCTGATTCATAATACATATAATACAATTTTTTAAATGGAAGTCACCGTCAGTTCAAATATAACACTTGGTACTTGTGTTCGTAACCAATCACCATACACCCAAGCGACCTTACACCCGGTCACTTATGTCATACACTCGTAAAATATCTCAACATTTGTTGATAACATGGCATGACTTAGTACCATGTAACGTTTAGAAAAGTACTCCATAAAAAAAACATTTTCATGTTTCTTTCATCAAAATGCTTTGTACTTGGTGGAAAAATTTTTACAATTTTATACTTTATATAAAACAAGTCGTGAAAACAGTTTCAAGTAAACCAATGTAATTATTCAAAATATTGAAATTCAATTATTTGTTCTATCGTTCTTCCATGAAGTTCCAACTTACATCGCTTTGTTTCCTTGCATATGGTAAAACATTTTATCTTCTGAAGTATAGTAAAGCCGACTATCAGGATACTAAAATTAAATTATTTTGAAAAATAGTCTCCTAATAATACAAACACAAAAGTTAAAATATATAAATCGGATATCTCCCTATTTTTACTTACGCAACAGAAACTAACGCAGACACAACAAAATTTGCAAACAAAGTGGGACTTCTTGAAAAATTATTAGAAAAAATTTAAAGTACAGAGTAATGTCTTCTTAAATAAGAGAACTCTCCATTAATCAAATCAGTAGGACAGTGAGGGAAGCGCAAAGAGAAACCCGGAACCAACATAAACCAAGAATAGTCCCCAAAGTGTCTGAGGAGCTCCCTCAAGGAAGACGCAGCTCAGGTCATTCCATGACATGAGATGGTGGGAGTGAACAGCGGATCAAGACAGGTTATAAGACTTGAGAAAGCAGAATAAGAATAAATGTTTTTAAAGAAATATATATCGCCCTGACGTTTTTGCAGTAACTTATAATATTTTTATCTCGATTCAACATGATTGTATCTCAAAATATTAATACTGATCAATATTTATGTTCGAGTATTGGAACGATTATTTTGGCAATGATATTTGTTGGTAAATTTTACAATGATTTTTACTATTTTGTATTCTTTATAAGTAATTTTCTTGTTATGTTTACTAAAGATAATCACTTCTATAACTTACAAACTCGTATACTAATGGGAATTAATTCACTGAAGAAAAATAGTGCAAGGTATCCTGTATGCAGGAGGACTTGTAAATCGTAAATATAGCTTAAAACGTGGGGAATTTCATATTTTTTATATTATTCTTTCATTATGCGTTTGGGCAAGTGAAAAGCTTTTGTTAAAAGTATAACGCGACTAACAGGTTTGCTCCTACATGCAATTATCTTACTCAAATAAGCTGTTTGTTTCACACATCTGTAGCACCATTGTAACTTACGTACCACAAGAGACATGTCGTTTAAAAACTGTCAATCTTAAATCCGTATCTCATAGGTCTTCGGCCATTCCCCCCGGTGAACAACCGCTGCCATCAACATTAATTGCTAAAACATTAATCCATCTTCTGTTTTGTATTAACAAGAGCATCGTACAACACGGCCGATACATTCGATAGCTCTCGAATCCACACTGCGCTCGCTAGTCGGTCGTCGACTCCGCCCCGCGGAGCCCTGCGAGGCTGCGGCCGGCCCGCGCGCCGCGCGCCGCTCGCCTCGCTCAGCGCCGCCGCGCCGGGGGGAACTTTTCGGCCTAGCGTTGCCACCGCCGCCGCAGCCGCCACAGCACCTGCACGGCGATCCCCCGCGTCGCGGTACATGAAGACGGAGCTCACGCAACACAACGACGCGCTTATCGTCTCATCGGTCGAGTTTTCATGCGCGTTGACACGGGCGATAGATTAAAATAATTGCGCGCTGATGGATCGGATGGAGAGGAAATTTGGTTCTTCGAAGTGGGTGCGTCGCGCTGAACCACGCCGCGCCTGACAGGGAATGACGATGAAATGTCGATGCGCGGAACGATAGCTAAAAGAGTTTGACGTTCGTGGTAAGTATGTTGAAGTACACATTTATTAGGTATAATTATAGATCTGTGGAGCTATCTGTCTGTTATGAGAGACTTCAATGCTGGGTGGGAAAAGGAACTTGAGTAAGGAACAAAATACTATAAATTTATTATAACGGAATATGAGTATTGTGTATAATATAAATATTATACAAATACCCTCTGAAATTTGTAGTATCATCAATAAACAGTTTTATCAAATATATCTCTTCATAATAATATTTTCAATGCGATTAATTAGATGTTATACATTTAAACGTGGAAGAACAAAAGTATAAAACTCATAAAATATTTTTACATAACTACATTAAATACACATAGTGCGGTGTGCTTGTGTTGTCAAAATGTAGTAGATATCTCCTAAATAATTCACAGAAATATTGTCAGATAAGACGACAGAATGCCTATTCGAAATGATACACACTTCTCCTGATCTGAAAGTGTTAATAATTTATTCCACTCCATTAATCGCAAAACGATTAACACAAGCAGTTACACATGAATAGACACTTGATAATTCTAGGCTAACAACGTTTCTCACAAACAAGCCGTGTATTATAACAGAAACCATGTATTCGCACATTCCTCTCCTTTTCCATCCTGATGTTGCTCACATCCACCATAGCGTAAACGTACTATTTCTGCGGAATTTACAGCATCATTTCCGCAACATTGAAAAAAGCTAAAAGCTTGCTCACATAAATTTAATTAATTCCTCCAGCCATAAAGCAAATCAAAGCCGGGGAGCCTTTTACTTCTCTCAGGCCAGACCAGCAATCCCTACAACCCACCAATTTTTTCCCCGGTGGGACGAGATCTCCTGAAATTAGTAAGCCGCGCAGGTAACGGGCAATCGGCGATAATTCATCCGCCGGGAAACCGGCGTTTGACAAAACACGTGACCCGCCCGACGGCTGCCTTTGCTGCGCTCGTGCGCCGGCCGGCGGCGGGTGCGCGCCGCGCCGCGCCGCGCGGCTGTCACTCACCCGCGCGCCGGCGCACTCGCCTTCCCTCTCGTGCGCGGTGCCCTCGCCGGCACCGACGCCGTATTGGCGTGGGCGGAATTCCGTCCGTTGGGCGGGGAAAAAATGTCGGCTTGCGGGGGGAAAATAGATGTTTATGTGCCAAAGACGTTATAAGGGTTCTAATGATCGGGTGATGACAAATAGTCCGATGGCTTTTATCGCCGCTCGATCATTAGACCAGTTAACGCCCATGGTTCATATATGATTTTTTAAAGTAATATCAATGATTAAAATCCACTAAATTACTAATTAACTAGTTGTTAACTTTACTCTGTTTGTCTTTTCATATTTCTCCCCCATAATTCCCTCTCACAATTCCCTCTATAAGAGAACTTGTAGCGCCATTCAACTGTTTTCATATTTTCTTGGAACCACGATCCTCTCGATCCAGGTAGTTTATGCGATGTACATCAAGCTAGGTGTCGAAGGAAATAACAAGCAATAACTTGTCAGTTAAAACTATAATTATTTTTGCGGGATTCCACTAATTGGGCGGAATCCGTTGTTTCGTGGGAGGATTTTGGGTAATGCGATGCTTTTTTGGCTTGCATACCCATCTTCACTTGCATACCCACTTGCAATAGTACCCACATTTTCCTAATAATCGTACAAATATTGATGGCGTCTGAATGATTATGACTTAGTCACAAGATGTTTTGTTTTGAACATCTTTCAAATGTGCAGATTCGAGGGGGAAATCGCCTCATTCGTACGAGTACATATTACGAGAATATACAAGTATATTATATGTTAGAGTTCTCTTTGTTTTTAATTAAACATGCATGCAATCGTGCTAAATATATCTAAAAATTGCACTACTTTCCAAATATTCATTGCTTATGACATGTGAGCTTTATACACGAGGGTATTGACTCTATGTGATCAAAAGTATCTGGACACGTGGCTGAAAATGAATTTTCAGTTTGTAGCTCCCTCCATCGGTAATGCTGGAATTCAATAGGGTGTTGGCCCACCCTTAGCCTTGACGACAGCTTCCACTCTCACAGGCATAGTTTCAATCAGATGCCGGAAGGGTTCTGGAGTAATGGCAACCCATTCTTCACGAAGTGATGTTCTGAGGAAAGGTATTGATGTAGGTCGGTCAGTCGGTTCAAAACATCCCAAAGGTGTTCGATAGGATTGAAGACAGGACTCTGTGCAGGCCAGTCCATTACAGGAATGTTATTGTCATGTAACCACTCCGCCATAGGACGTGCGGTATGAACAGGTGCTCGATCGTGTTGAAAGATGCAATCGCCATCGCCGAATTGCTCTTCAACAGTAAAAAGCAAGGTGATTAAAACATCAACGTAGGCCTGTGCCATGATAGTGCCACACAAAACAAGGGGTGCAAGCCCCCACAATGAAATTCACGACCACATCATAACATCATTTCGGACGCGTCCGGATACTTTTGATCACATAGTGTACTTTTAAACATATTGTAAACGTGCTTTTTGCTTGACTTGTGATCTTACTTTTGAAATAACCAGCTGCAGCGCCAAAGGCCGCTTTTTTAACTGGTCACAGTTTTACCACTCAGGTATTTGGCGGAATTGAGCAGATTTTGTCTCTCCGGTGACGGAGTTTCCAAGTATGGATCTGGCAACCCTGCGTAGACAGTCCCTACACCAAGGGTTCGCTACGGGTCATTATCAATCCCCTTGGAGTCGATGAAAGTTTGTTGACCATCTGACCAATGGGTTGAATAGGAATCAACTGAAGGAATAGGGAGTTATTGCATGGCATAGCGTACAGCAATCAACTGTAATTTCGCACTTCCGCGAATGAGCACATACACAAAAGTGATGCGAAACTCAAACTGCGCATGCACTGAAGATCTTTAGTTCTGCCGATAGCTGTAATGCTTCGCCGTGCAAAAACTCTTTGATATACCGGATATTGGTTGATATAGTCGAGATAAAAATATTATAGATTACAAAAAATATATTATAATGCAATTGATAAATGTTTTCTGATTTAAACCAGCACCACTATTTCTTGCAATTGATAAATGTTTTCTGATTTATAACAAATTTTTATTCTTTCGTAATCATTGTTCGATTTTTACGAGGGATATTTAAAAAACAATTAAAAAATGTTGACAATGAATTCACAAAGTTACTCTCTATCTCCCGCAGTGCTGACATGTTATGGCCAGTTCTAAAAAAACGTTTACAACTTGTTAACAATTGCACAACAATGAAAATTAGAAACTCAACTATGCAGATTATTAAAAATCACGATATTTAGGAAATAATTGGTGTATGAAATTATTTTTAGTGGAGTTGGTGAAATTATTTCTGTTATCATTTTGTTCTGCACATTATGAAGACGTCAGTAAGGCGGGGTTTCAAGAATTAGTACTGTTTTATTTACGCTATTTATTTTCTGTTTAATAATACATCTATTTAGTAGCGTACATTATACAGATGAAAACATTAGAAGTAACATTACTTTTGCTTTTGGATAGATCAGTGGTTCCCCACCCACACCATACCGCATACTATGAATTTTCGTGCCAACTGTATAAAAAATGGCGAAATCTGTGGCGGTAACAAATGTGCTACTCTCTGTATCCAGAGGCTCATAGGGCTACGAACGTTCCCATTACCGAGTATTAAGAACGTGAACACAACACGTGATATCAAGCTACAATTTTTATATCTACTGAATCACTAATTTCTCGAAACATCGTGCTAATCCTTTATATTACTAGAACTTTTTTTCTTCACATTTACGAGCATTAACTTTTCGAGTTAAAATTTTCTTTAGGCTCGTATACTACACTAAATGTGAAACATTGAGACACCCTGAATTATGTGAAGTATATTGTAAATTATCTAAAAGAAAACATTTTCTATCAATCATAGAAGCACTCGAATAAAACGCTATAGACTACATTTTTCGAGGTTTTACTGTAATTTGGGAAATAACTATTAATATTTTTGTCGTATTATCAATTTTTTTTCCAGCCTTGATGTTAGTGACATGAAGTATTTTAAATTCAATTCTACTATATACGACTTTACTATAATTTGTAAAATTTAATCCAGGGTCACACTGCACAATTCCGTTATTTTTCAATTATTTTTTGCAGAATAATATTTTGTAAATAAACTATTAAGCAAAGACACTTAGAGGAAGTACAACAGCACACACTTTCTTGCATAATTTATAGTTTTTGTAATTTCCAAAAATTCATAGTCCAACGAAAATGAGAGTTGTGTCATTTTATAAGAATCGTTTTCTCTTTCCGGTGAATAAAATTTAAAGAACAAAATTGTTGGAATTTTTCAGAAAATAGTATAAATTATCTTTTCTTCAAGCACCAACTTCAGTGAAAACAACTACTTTTAACAAAAATTAATAGATTACTATTTGAAGCTCTATTTTTTTAGAACAGAATACATTAAGGATCCACGGTGACTTACCAAATTGTTCAGTAATCTCTATCTGTTAAATTTCATAAATCTGCTTCCCTGGCACTCACAGATTCATGACTGTTTCTGAAGATAAGAATAGGTTAATAAATAATAAACAGTGATCTTACTGTTAATTTTAAAACTAGACAGCGTTAATGGAACGATATCCAAAAATCCTATATTTTAGTAGAAATAACACTTTTCTTACACAACCAGCACAAAGGTTAACAGGTATATGCTTTACGTTTGACACAATATTCAAAACTGGCAATGATATATTCATCATAATCCATTTTCTTCTC